ATTTTTCAAATGGCCACCGTGTGTAACTAATGATGACATCAATTTTTAAGATATCGTTTGAATAGAACTTGCTTTCACCATGTTGTGGTATCATATTAAAGGAATTAAATTCTAACAAAATGATACCACATTTCATGGGCTTGGCGATGATTTTAATGACAATTTGGGCCAAAATGAGATTTTTTACCATTTTTCCCCAAAATATGAATTGCACCAAAATGCATTTTTTCCCATATTTCAAAAGTCCTTTTGAGTAATGAATTGAAACTTTTCAGAAAACTGCCCATATGTATGGTTAATATTGTCGCAAAAGCTCAAGTTCATTGCTTTGTAACAATAAATTATATTGTTCAAAGTTAACATTTGATATTAACTAAAACAGCATTTGTACCATTATAGTGGGTATGCGTGTCATGAAATAGCTCCGTAGGATTTTTTGGCTAAAATTGATTTTTTGCTTTATTGAGTTGATTTAGTTTCAAACTATCAGAAAATGGTGGGATCAAATTTCCGACCCCTCGACCCCCGGGGGAGGCGGCTTTCTTTTCCATGACCACCCTGACTGACCGCCCCGGGCTTGTTCTGCTAATAATGAACCTATTATTCACGATCCTGGCGGTCATTTCAGGGGTTTGGATGATGCTGAGTCTATTTATCACAATTTCAAAGTGACCGGAAGTGGCCATTATCGACTTCCGTTACGATCTCGTTAAATTCAATGTCATTATCATGGCAGTGATAAACTTGGTCCATATAATAACCTCTTTCTATAGGTTTGCAGGCATGGGAAGACAACTGATGCAGTCATTTTTTTGCGATCAGATAGTCATGACAAGAGATAAGGGCACTTTAAGTGGCGATCACAGACTACCGGTTAGGATCCGACTAGTCAGCTCTGGTTGCCCTGTCTGCAACAAGAAAGCAATCTTTCCTTGTCCGAATTTTTATTACTTGTCCAACATTTTCTTACATATCAACAGTCTATGAGCCGTTAAGGTATATTTTGGGTTCAGTACATATCATATTACAGTATATACATGGAAAATCGTAAGAAAATTCAGTGTGTGAAACGAACCTCGTCAATACCTCGCAGACGTCTACATTGGGCAGCGATTACCAGGGATTCTGAGGAGTCTTGCCCCACGGGTACCGCCTCGCTGACGAAAATCACTGTTCTTCCATCTATAAACTACACTTTATTGAACTAATATCGAACAACCCTAGTGGCAAGGGATGCAGAGATGGTCCAGAAAGTGATAGCAGCCATGGAGACCAACCCCTATTCTCAGCACGAAATGCCATCCCTGGTTAATCTATCAACGGGCAGCGTCAGAGGCAGCAGTCCAGGAACACCTCATCGAGTGAAAGGAACATTGGTCTGAAGGCATTGTCAGTTTCCATCACTCCAGTGACAAAAGAAGACGTCCATGCGTGAGTTGAAAACGCTTCCACACGCAAAATCAAAGCCAAAGAAGTCGACAAGGAAAGAGTGCACCACACAAAGAGTGATGAAGTAGAGCTCTGCCCTTCTTCGCATAAACACAGATCATGGCCAGTGGTGGAGATGTCGACCATCGTCAACTTTATTGGCAACCCATGAGTGTAGCAAGATGCCCCCCGTCTTTATTCATTGAAGGTGGAAGCAAGAGGCTGCAGGCACAACGGCTAGTCTCGTGAAGACCCTGAAGGAGGAGACTCAGTGACCAGTGTTGCTGATCTGCCACAAGGAAACCGTGAAGACAGCAGTGGTGGTTGAGCGCAATGCATGCCATACCCACTGGTTATTCAAGAAAGATAAAACATGCAAACGCCATTGCTGATCGCTACAAGCACTAGCTGCTGGAAGATGTTCCTGCTGGCACAGGGCTCATACATTTCTGCTGTGACCGATACAGTGAACAAAGCCTCAAATCAGCAGAGCAACAGCACAGGTACGGCCGATCCAGACCAGCTAAGGTGTTTGAAGTCAGATGAGCAGTACAGCCCCAGACCCCACAAGAATTCTTCTCAGTATCAGCCACAAAGCTGAGTTTCCTGTGTGAGACGTGGACCGAGAGTGAACAGCTAGATCCAGCACTCGTTCAAACTCGCCTTTACCTAAGCAGAGGATTCAAAAAGAAACCCTGAGTGTGCTGCTCATCGAAGGGTCCGCAACTGACGTCACTGCCTTGGAGTCTACACAGCAGGAGGCTGATACAAGTCATGCTATATACAGCAGTTCAGAATGAAGATGTTGAGAGAGTGATCATCCACGGCAATGACACGGATATTATCATCATCTGTGTCTACTATGCCACCACTATTCTGAAGAAATCTTCCTGGACTGGTGGGTGAGAACTGCCACGGAGAACTACCTATACCCATACCCCAAATGGCTGTGGCACTGGGACCTTCGCAAGTGTCGTGCACTACCATTTATCCTTCAGCCTGAGTGAAGAGACAGAGACAAGCTATCCTTTCTTCACTGGTAAAGAAAGACCTGGATAAGCAGTAGCAAGACTACAGACATATCTAAACTAGAAGACTTTGGCGATGCAAGGTCAGCAGACATCACATTGGAACTCATCGACCAGGCCACGCAAGCTTGTCATCACTGTGTACTCTAACAAAGCCGATGACTTCGAGGAGTGTGATCATGGAAAACTGAGGGTCTACAAATTCCTGAATAACAGGTCAACTCTGCTGAAGCTGCTACCACCAACAGAATATGTATTTCTGACAACACACCTACGACGTGCAGCTCTAGCAACTTATCATAGAGCAGAGGCGACACATTGGCAGGCCCAGAGCTCCGAACCCATTTGAGGTATGGCTGGTGCGTCTGCAGGGATGGGACAACTGTCCCAGTCCCACTTCCAACTCACCAGCCCTGGCTGCAGACAATGACAAAGGCCATCGCGTGTGGCGCTGCACCAGAGAGGTGCAAGCAAACTGGTCCGTGCGAGAGGCTATTGCATGTTTACATTGGATGTTGCTGCCAGGGATCCGCAACACAACGTGAGCCGTGTTCATACACTGCAATATTTGAAAGCAGTGTAAAGCAGTGACTGTGGACAGGTGACAATTAGCTGAACACACAATGGACAGACTATATTTTTTATTCAGATTAGTCCAAGGTAATTGTCACTGTCCGCATTATTCGTATCACCGGGATAAGACGACGAGTCAAGAAACGTTTATTATTTTGTCGTTGTTTTTTGATGTCTCAGCTTGACAGATTTAGAATTATGAGTAAGGAATATTAATGTACTATTATTAAAAAATTAAATTAAACAAATATTAAAATAAATTAAATTGAACCCTGGCCTTTTCTGATAGTTTAAGCCCTGAAATCAACCGATAAAGCAAAAAAATAAAAATTTAGCACAACAAAATCGCCTACGGAGCTATTTTCATGACACGTCATACCGCCACTAAAATGTACAAATCTGTTTTTAGTTAATCACAATAATGGTATATCTTTGGAGTAATATAAACTTTATCTGTTAGAAAAGCCAATAAAACTTGAGCTTTTGCGACGCAATAATCTAATAGCGGCAAATTACATATTGGCAAGTTGGTTCTGAAAAGTTCCAAATTCATTAGCTCAAAAAGGAGTGTGTGAAGATATGGAGAAAATGAATTTTGGTGCAATTCACATTTTGGGAAAAAAAATGGTAAAAAATCACATTTTGCCAAATTGTCATTAAAATCATGCACTAAGCCCATTAAACTGTGGTAATCCTTGTAGAGAAATTTAAATTCCGCTTTAATATGATACCACACTGTCAAATTGGTGGAAAGCAAGTTCTATCTCAAACAATACTTAAATAATTGATCAATCATTTAGAGTTCAGTTGGTTGTTGGCACGGTGGCCATTTGAAAAATAGCCCGCCATGTTTTTCTAGGTCAGCATATTTGTAAGGCGTTGTCGCACGCGTGTGTGGTGTGGTGATAGTTGGAAGTGTCAGGGTAGGTACCATCTGAGATCCACGTTGATATCCAAACACAACATTTAGTTAGCATAGCCCACCGGTTCTGGTAAACCTGATCTTGGCGGGCGCGGACTGGGTACCAAGCGATTAGTTGGACACGAAGGCCACGCGAGAGCAAGGTGAAGTTTCTACGTACCGCGGCAGCAGCGGCAGTAGCAGCAGTAGCGATGCCCGCTCGGAGCTATCTGGAATTGGCGGAGGCGGGACTTGCTCGGCCGATGCCCAGATAGCGTATTTGGCAGCGGCGTGGCATATGGTCGCGCGTCATTGGTAGCATGGCACGGCGGGCAACACCGACCGTGCGCAAGCAGAATAAATAAGCGCGCACTGTTAGGTGACAGAGTGATTACAGCGCGCGTAGCGCACTAGACCAGCGACCTTGTACAGCTACCTCTACTCGCTAATGCTCTCATCGTACGGTCATTCCGAACATCATTTAGAGCCGGATAGACCTGTGCGCTGAACAGCGCAATCGCACACGCGGGTTATCTCTCGTCTATATATTGTACGGAGCAGGCAGGCAGGCGCGCCACTACCGTTTAAGAGACGCGACCCGCACGGCAACGCGAGAGCGAATTGGCAACGAAAGGTCACATTGCTCGGTTGGAGCGCGTAAGACTCGTGTGCATTGCGGAGCGAAATGCTGTGAGTCAGTTGCGGCAAATGTTCGGGGGAGGATCGATTGGGAACTGCTGCGTAATTCGACGGGGCGATCAAATGGGTGGAACAGCGACAGCTTCATCGGCGCGCCGGCTTCTCTTGCACAGGTGGAGGAGCCACTGAAGCTGCCACGAGCAATTCCGTCGCGCCGACGGAAGGAAGAGGAGAGGAGGAGGAAGTCAACCGGGGCCGTAGTGGCAGTTGTCCGGCGCCGGAGTGACGAGCCGGCGCTCAATTGACAGTTCTTCGATGGCGCCCCGTTTTTACGCGAGTGTACGCGAACGCAAGATCTTCACCGTTCACGCGAGCCCGGGCGTCAACAATAGAACGTTGAAGAAGACGCAAGAGAACGTGTGGCCGTACATGCCTCGCTTTGCGTGAGAGAGCGACGCTAGAACGTGACGCAACCTGTGTACACTCTCTGTGCGTGAAAGAGCGACGCTAGGACGTGACGCAACCCGTGTACGGTCGCTGTGCGTGAGAGAGTGTGGGTTGCGGGAGAATTCTGTTTGCGCATCTGCACACGCTGTGTATCACGTGAAGATGAAGTCGGCCAGGTCGATGTACGGTGTGATGCAGCCGAACTATGAGGATGACAATAATGTCTATGAGATTGTCAGGGTCATAAGGAGAAAGGTATACATTCAGTGATTCAAAGCGTAATATGCATTTATTCCTATGCGGAGTATAAATATTTAGACGCTTGTATCGTCACAGTTACAACGCATCCAAAGTGCAATTGTCTGACATGGTAGAAGTACTGATGATGTAGAAGTCTGAGTGGTGATGTAGAAAGGCTGTCTGCGTGAGAATGATATGCTAATCTATTTACCATGCCGGTTAGCTTGTGAATTACGGCTTACATGTAATGATGTATATATGAATCGTGTTTCGCCTGTGACCATGGGGACATGCGGACATCGTGAATTACGTGTAGTCGCAACCTCTCTGCAACGCTTCTTCTTACGGGTCTAGGGAGCAATTCTCGTGACTGAGTAAACTAAAAACGTGCTGTAAAGCTGTGTGCAGTAAAAACTATAGTGAAATCCGTATTTGAAATAATGCTGACAATTGACCGCATCTGCGCTGCGTTGACTTACGTAACATGCTTTCACCAGCTATTAGCTTCTCGCTGTTACGTGGGTGAGGTTATTGGTCTCGCGCCGGCGACATAAACCTATTTTTACAGCAGGTGTCGACTGAAGCAAATCGGCATAAAGCTCTTTGCTCGAGGAAACAGCATTAGTGACTGACAGAGACTATATGGCGGGACTCGAACACCAGACTGTTCTGTCTGAATTCAATTGTGTTATCCACGAGAGACCACCGCTGCCAAACTTCCTCTCATATATATACACGTGTCTATATATGCCTGGGCCCCATTCTTAGAAACGAAATTAGTGAAGCATCAGTGAATAAGCATCGAACAGGAATTAATTAAAAATACTCACACTGTTACTGCGCTTACACAACATACACTTTATTCATGTTAAATAACTACAGATTCATGCTCTATGCTCCGCTTGAAACTTTTGCCAGCTCTATGATGCGAATTTCTATACAGAGTAGACGGATCCTGTTTCATACACAAAAATGGCCGACCGGCGACCATGGCTACGCCACTA